GATGGGAGATAGTGGCAATCACATAACCCATTGTAAGGTGAAAGAGCAGTTCATGTGGAAGTGCAGGATGCTAAAAGGAAGAGGCTGCTCTTCATTTATTTTACAGTGTTTATGTTTGTTTGTGAGGTCTGTTATAAGATTTTCAGTTCAATTGAAAAATAAGAAAAATTGTTAATAAATTGTTCTTGTTGTTTTCCAGGATGGCTGCACCCCACTTTTACTTGCCCTAAAGGAAAACAAACACCATGTGGCAGAATTTTTAATTAAGGCGAAAGCAAATATACATACGGTTGACATGAGAGGGAGGTATAGTAGTTTATTCTTTAAAAACAATCATTCTGGCCAAATATTAAATTAATGGGAAGGAGAATATTAATTTATACATATTGGGGTAGAGTGAAAAAAATGAATACAAACTATGTTTTAGGTAGAAATAGTTGATTTTTTTGTTCACATGTGTTATGGTTTGGATATAAGGTATCCCCAAAAAGCTTACCTGTGAGACAATGCAAGAAGGTTCAGAGGAGAAATAATTGGGTTGTGAGAGTCTTAACCCAATCAATGAATTAATCCCGTGACAGGAATTAACTGATTAACTGACTGGTAACTGAAATGTCTGAGGTGTCAAAGGGTGTGGCTGGAGGAGGTGGGAATTGGGGGCATGGCTTTAGAATATATATGTTTGTGTCTGGCAAGTGCAGACCTCTCTCTCTCCCTCTGCTTCCTGATCACCATGATCAGCATGTGAGCTGCTTCCCTCTGCCATACTCTCAGACCATGATATTCAGCCTCACCTTGAACCCCTGGAAATGGAGCTGGATTCTATGAACTAAGACCTCTGGCTCCAATGAGCCCTTGAATAAATGTTTTCTCTTCTACAATTGTGCTGGTTTTGTCCTTTAGTCACAGTTGTTAAAAAGCTGACTAAAACAACAAAAGTTTTAAATAAATATGGATTTTGTCATTTTTTGATTGAATAATGTATTTCTTAACCTCTCTATTGTAATTTTAACTTCTATTTCTTATATGTTTCCTTTAAAATGTTATATTTAGAATAAATAGACTTTGATGATTTTTTTTTCCTTTTGGATGACTCTAAATTGCTTTTTTTTGAAGAATATTGATGTTAACTTATTCCTAATTGAGCATTAATTTCTGTTGCTAGATGTTGTCCATTTTCTAATATATTTTAATGTTTTTCTTCCCCTTTTCAGGACTTTTTATTAGTTCTAATCAGTTATGCATAGCAGTAGAAAGCTCTTCAATTCATTATATACAAATGGAGCAGAATTTTTCACTTCTCTGGTTGTTCATGAAGTAGGGTCACACCATTTGTGCAAATGTACATGTAATGATATCTACCTCATTCCACTGTATTTCCTATGCCTTTATCCCCTCATTCCTCCCCTTTTCCCAATCCAAGGTTCCTCTACTCACCCCCTGCTCCCTCCATATGGATTAGCATCCACTTATCAGAGAAAACATTTTGTCCCTGTTTTTTTGAGATTGGCTTATTTCCTTTAGCATGATATTCTCCAACTCCATCCATTTACCTGTAAATGCCATAATTTTATTATCTTTCAATTGTAATATTCCATTGTATATATGTACCACAGTTTCTTCATCCACTTATCTATTGAAGGGAAACTAAGTTGCTTCCACAGTTTAGCAATTATTAATTGCACTGCTATAAACATTATAGTGGCTGTGTCACTGTAGTTTGCTATTTTAAGTCTTTAGGGTATAGACTGAGGAATGAGATAGCTGGGTCCAAATGTGGTCACATTTCAAGTTTTCTAAGGAGTGTCCATACTGCTTTCCAGATTGGCTGCACCAATTTTCAGTCCCACCATCAATGTATGAGTGTACATTTTCCCCCACATTTTTGCCAACACTTACTGTTGCTTGTCTTCTTCACAACAGCCATTCTGACTGGAGTGAGATAAAATCTTAGAGTAGTTTTTATTTGCATGATTTCTTTCTTTTTAAAATACATTGTTTAGTTGTAGATGGACATGATACCTTTATTTTATGTATTTATTTTTCTGTGGTGCTGAGGATTGAACCCAGTGCCTCACATGTGCTAGGCAAGTTCTCTACCATTGAGCTACAACCCCAGCCCTGATGCTTTTAATTCTAATTGGCTAGGGCTGAGGGAAGAAAAACAGCTTTAATGGCATATACATTTCCTTTAATGAAGAAATAGATTTGTAGTGATGAGAAAGGAGATAAGCTTTAAATTCACAAATGACTGTGTTGTATTTCCAGCTTTCCTAGTTACAAAGTGTGACACTTTGGAAACATTACTTATCACTAAATATATTTTCTGATATGAAAAAAAATTCTTTTCATTCAAAACATTCTTGAAGGGTGGTTGTAAGATGAAACATAAACATTGATTTTAGTCCTTACCAAATGCTTATTTTCATTGTTATTAACTGAAGTAATAATGACTGATTATCACCATTATTATTATAGCAATTGTTTTAAGCCTGCTCAACACCTTTGTTTGCTTGACTTTTAAGCTGACTATGAGTTATATCACATCAGACTGAGGAAGAAATGGGGCATTCTTCATATCTTTTATGTACTTCAGATAAATAGCCTCATCACAGTTATTGTCCATTAAGTGATTTTATGTTTATAACTTCTACCATGTAATTCCCTATTGGGACAAGAAGTTTCCTCTTGTTTTTTTTTTTTCTATTTAGACTGAGAGATGATTTGCACAGATGATCCCCCAAGATGCTTATGTCTGTTAAGATATGTAAAGCAAGATATTAAATTGATAAGATACGTAAAATTAGCTCTTAAAGTACCTAATAACAAAATTATTTCTCCATTATTTTAGAACAGCCCTCATGCTTGCAGTGAGGTATGAATCACCAGATATAATCAAGCTTCTTATTGCAGGAGGTATTGATGTCTTTGCAGAAGATGTGGATGGAGGGACTGCATTATATTATTCTGTTGCTAGTGGCTGCAATATGTAAGTGTTTTAATTAAAGTACTAATCAACGTTAAGTGGAGGTTAAAAATAAGCACAACTATTGCATCTTATATATCATTTGAGTGTTCATAGTTCAAATATGTTAGGAATGACAGTGACTGAGTCCCTTCATCAGCCATTAACACTGCAGAAGTCTAGGCTAATTAGCAGTAGTGCAGGATATCTCACAGGACTTTCTTTTTCTTTTTCTGCGGGTGTTGTGGTGTTGGGGATTGAACCCAGGTCCTCAATCATGACCTCTCCCACTGAGATACACCTCCAGCCCATATCTTAGAACTTTAAAATGTTTATCCTTATAGATCCCAGCCTTATCCACTTCATTCCAAATATAATGTCTACTATGGCAACTGTGATTTTTCTTATTAGGTATTTGCATTTTTAAATTCTCAGCTTAGTAAAACAAACAAACAAACAAACAAACAAACAAAAAAACTCCTTACTTTCCTCTGGGAGCTAGCTTTTTCACTATCCTTCTTGAATCTCCCAGGGTCTGTGAATTCTTTAAGTTCAAGGAAGACAGTTCCCTTTTACCACACAGCTGAAAGGGAAAATAAGGAACTTTAAAATCATTATTCATTTCTGTCAATTGTATTGCTGCAGTGTTGCTATTAGAAATGGTCTTGCAGTGTGGCAATGGTTAACTTTTACTACCCAGTTGTCCTGACTGATCACTGTCTCTAAGTCCTCATGGAACAATGTAGGTTTGAAAGTTACACTTGTTTTTGAAGTTCACATATGCATGTGCGGCTACGCTCACTTATGATTCTCAAAGCAGCTGCATTCTGCTTTGGCATGTGAGCCATCTAGCTTTAGTCACACACATAGTGAGCAAGCACACCATGTTCTCCACTTAAATTCTTACATAGAGCACATGTGTTAGCCAAAACCCTCAGGGTGAGTCATTGTTTGTCTTTTCTGCAAATATTAGTTGGAATCATTTATAAACTATCAGATACTTTAAATAATGTCATAGGAAGAGATCAGTTTCCTTTCATGTTTGCTAACAGATCAGTATCCAAAAGCCTCATTATGTCCTGTGAAGCACTTTTTTTTTTCATAGGGGGAGGTCTCATATTACTGTTTCCAAGGGGGAAGTGTGATGACTTTAATTGGCATCTCTAGTGATTTTTCTTCAATTTTGATGAAAATTTCTCAAAATACTTGCCCATTTTCCTGAAGGCTTCAGAATATTTTCAAGTTCTGCCTCACTGGGAAGTCATTAAGCAGCATTCTAAGATCTAAGAGTGTTAAGATATCTGACAGTTAAGCCCCATACTGACACATCAATATCTGTGTATAAAATAGGATTTTGTCATCCAAGGCAGCTGAAGATGTACATGGAGACAAAGCATCATTCTCACAGAGATCTGCTGGTTCCATTTGACTTGATAGAGAAGGAATAGTAGCAGGCCAAGTCAGTTTTGGCATTTGTTAATTGTCTGCCCTGGGTGCAATTGCTTAGTTTCATAACAGGGAAAATTATATTATGTAATTTAAGGATATAAAATATTCATAAATAAATTGGATTTTTAAATTATCCCAATGCTGATTTGCCCTGAATTATAAGGCCTAAAGAAGAATACAGTCAATATCCAAAATAAAAACCTAATTGTATTTTCCAATAACCTTAACATTTGAATATTAAATCCTGTGATAACATATACTTTGAGTTTCAATTGGCTTTCCAAAATAATTCAGGATTAAAGAACTAATTATTTCATTACTATTTTTCTTAGCATGTTTTAATATTATCTCCTTAAATCTTCATAACAACCTGGTAAACTAATGAAGTATGGTCTTATTTTTTAGAAGGAGACTTGAGTCCAAGAGAAATGATTTGTGCAAGATCAAAGAGCTATTGTTTACAGAGAGAGGATCTGAATTCAGGACATTTTTCTTTATGTCAAGCTACTCTAGTTAATGTATTGAGCAGTATTGTCCTTAATGCATAATTATTTCACCTTTCTTTTTTCTTCTTCATTATAAGCCTATGAGTGCAGTGGCATGCACCTTAACTGCAGATACTTGGGAGCCTGGGGCAGGAGGATCGCTTGAGCTCAGGAGTTCAAGACCAGCCTTCACACCACCATGGTGAAACCTCAGCTCAAAAATAATACAAAACAAAATGAAAACATAAAACCATAAAAATAATTGTATGGTTATTGGATGTTTACAGAGCTCACAAATTTGAAATACATGGGATAAAATTCTGTTGTTAGCTCTTATGATGTCTAAAATTCTCTCAAGTTAATATATTTGTTTAATATTTTTCATTCATTATTAAAATACTAATTGCATTACTTTTCTGTACATGGCAACAGGAAAATAATGTTTGACTGTACAGAAGCAAAACGTAAGATGAGGAAAAATACCAAAGAAGGTAAGAATTCTGATAGTGAATCTCTCTTCTTGTTTCTACCTTACTAAATAAGTAAGAATAAAAAATGTTTTGGTCACAAAGGAGCAGTGAAAAAGTCAAATTGTAAATTGCATTCATATTTTTTTAATTTGTTTTAAATATTTTTGAATACCTTATTTAAGAAATTAATTATTGGAACTTTATAACCTGAAACAATGTTATCTGAAAAATTTACATTAATAGTTTTAACTCTATAAATATATATTTTATGTAAGATGTTTTATGGATTTACATTTGTAGTTTTGACTGTAAATATAATATGATTTATATAAGATGTTTTATGGATTTCTATTTTTTCTTATATATAAAAGAAAGATTTTTAAATTGGTGTGTTGTGTTTATTTAGTGACATTATAGCATTTTAGATTTGTTCTAAAAGAGATATTCTTTTTAGCTACAGATATTGACTGCTTATTTGCACAAATTATTGGATTTCACTCTGACATTTCCATATATGCACATCTTACTTGAATCTTATCCATCCTCCCTAGTCCTGCTTTATTTTCCCTCACTCCCCCTCCTCAACTCCCCTTTCCCTTCTCTGGTAACATCTTTTCTATTTTTCAGGATATTATTGTTTTTCATCATCCACATATGAGGGAGAACATGCAATCCTTGGCTTTGTATTCCTAATATCCTGCTTAACATTCTGACTGCCATTTCCATCGACTTTCAAATTTTTTTCTTTGTTTATTTCTTCAGAGATTTCCTTCAATGTTTCTATTGAGAAACCTGCTGCTCATTTGATGGTTTACTTTATAAGTGCTTTGATTCTTCTCTCTCATAGCTTTCAATATTAATTCTTGATTTGTATTTGTCAATTTTATGTTATAGAAAAACAGTCATTCTTTTCTGGTTAAGTACGCTTGGGGTTCTACATGCTTCCTGTACCTGGGTTTTCATACCTTTCCCCAAATTTGGAAAAATTTCTGGTGTTATTTCACTGAACAGTTTTGTAATGCCTATAGCCTGTACCTCCATTGCTTGGTCTTTATGAGTCATAAAGTTTAGTCTTTAATAATATCCTAGGGGTTTGGATGTTCTGTTCAATCTTCTTTTTATTTCTTGAGGTTTGCTACTACCTGAACTTGAAATTTCATCAACCTGTATTTGGTCTAGTCTATGGGTGTTATATTAGCTGAATTTTATATTTGAGCTATATAGCTTTTATTTTCAATATTTTGCTTGATATTTTTTCAGAATCTCTGTTCATTAAATTGCTCTTTTTTATCCCACAGTAAATTTCTTAATTTATGCAATTATTTATTTGTATTCTATTTGAATTCAATCATTATTTTTGGCATTTTTTTGAATTCTTTTTCTGGCATTTCATCTACTGCAGTATCTTTGAAATCATTTATCAGAGACTCATGAAGATGTGAAGGAGTAATTTAAAAAAAAATTAAATCCAGGATTTATGCATGCTATGCAAGCACAGTACCACTGATCTCCATCCACAACCTTCTTTATCAGTATATTTTCTGCCATGGTAAATACGAAGACAATCATATTGCCTTTTGTTTTGTTTCTTATCTTACATGAAGTGGAAAATGATTTTTTTCTCCCACTAGGAGTTGGCACATTCTGTAAGCTCAAGTGACTTAATAATTGTATTTACTTTTTCATATCAGCTATTACTCCTTGGCAACTTGCTACTAACTCCCTAGTGCTTCTTTTTAAACTTCTCTATGAGAGTGATATAGTTGTTATGACTATAACAAGTGATAAATATCTAATATGGTGTCTAGTCCAGACATGGTGTCTAGTCTAGATCATGTTTGAGCTCTCAATGGTATCATCTTTCTAGTGGTAAGGCCTTGTTTGCACTACACACAAGAAAGTAGCTGGAACTAAGAGATTAGTATCTTCACTAGAACATCATTAGTGAGGGAAAGTATATTGATTTCTACTGAGCTCTTCTCAACTTTAAGCTATAATATCTTTGTAAGTGTACCAGTCCCTGGTCTGTTGCCCAATTTTTGCCATGCCCCAAAGGATGCTTCCCACACATCTAGCTTCCCTGGGAAAGGGTATTTCATCATAAATTTCATGTCATAACAAAATAATCATACTCTCTTATAATTGTTCTTAACTGCTTTTAGTCCAGAAAACTCATGAGATTTGTTTAATATTGTCAGCTTAATACTACTGATTCAACTAATGATAATTTCTGTCAGTTTTACATCTTTCCCATTAGAATTATGATCATGGGACATAGTATTTTACATTTTAATATCAAATTATGATGAATCTCATTCTTTGTCCTTGAATTAGATAAATACAGAGAAGGGGATATAAGAGTTCTTAATGCATTAATTATCTATCATCAGTATCATGAATATTTATTTTAGAATCATCTCCATGTGTGGCCCCAAAGAAATACTTCATCACAAAGCATCAGTCATATACTTTTAACATGTCATATTTTATACAATTGATTAAATATGTATTTTATCTTTATTTAATAGGGAGTGAAAGTTCTACAGAAGACTCCCTAACAGGGTAAGATAGATATTAAAAATTTATATGTTAACTATATTCATGAATGAAAATTTAAAAAAACCCTACTATTTCTGAATGTTTTTGTCTGGACTAGACACCATATTAGATATTTGTCACTTGATATATTCATAACAATAGATTTGAAAGTATTTGTGTTATTATAACACATTATTTACTAATTAAGCAACTGTCATTCAGAGTTGTTGCCTAAATAGTCCATGATCCTTTCATTAACAATAGCTGGTCTGAGATTGACAGCCAGTTTATCTGGCTGACAATGCCATTTCTTGCCCCACTGCCTAGGCTTCTATGCAGCCTACACTCAAGATACATGTATGGTATGAGGACAAGTGCATGGAGTACTGCATGCATGGTATACGTTAAGGATGTCTGAGTGGAAATCTTGGTGCTAGGTGTGCCAGCGGCAAACCACTTACCCTGTAGGCACAGCCCTGGGCGTGAGGCTGTGTGTTGCAGTCCCTGTGTTTGCTCCATGGACTGCTCCTCAATTGGTCGCTGTAAGGACAGTTAGCAAGAAATTGTATTGGTGGCTGCCTATAATCTGCCTAGCTACTACCTGAGTATATATACATGGTAACTGCACAATAAAATCAGACCTGCTTCCTGCTTGGTCTGGAGGTCTTGATTAGTTACTCCGTAACCACACTCTCCTCTACCGTGTTCTTTGGACCTCCTTGCTGGACAAAAGCCAGCCCATGCAGTATCAGATCAATTCAGAAAGTCATAGGTAGTTATGTGTTATTTCTGACTATATTTTAACTGAGAAACCTGCTTATCCAAGTGTTTCTTCTGATAGGCAGTTTTTTTGCTAACCAGTACCTTTTTTTTACATCAAAAATTTTAGGGAAAATCTTACATAGTTGTGGTTATAAGACAATGGGTTTTTTATAACAAAGATTAGGCAAGCGCAGAGAGAAATTATTTTACTAGATGTTAAGAATAACTGTGTAGAATAGTATACATAAATTAATTTGAGTATCAATTTAGAGGTTATTTTAATTGATTTTGTTACTTCTCCTAATTTGGTGGTCCTTCAATTTGTTTGTTCTATAAAGACTTTTTTTTTTAGCTTTTTTTCCTATGTAATCTTTTCTTGAATTTTTTTCCTTTCTTTTCTACTCTTTTGTTGTTTCTTTTGATATTTTTCAAAAACATTTGTCATCTAAAAACTCATTTTTTCCCTTATAGAGCCAATAAAAAGCAGAAATAAGTTAAAGGTTTAAGACATTCTAGCAACTAACCCAAGTATTCTATAATCCTTCAAAATGCTTTTAAAATACTGGCCAAGTGGTGGTTATGATGATGAACCTGAAACTTGAAAGATATTAAGAAGACTTTTCTGATACAGAACATGGAAGGAATGAGCTTTGAACTCAGGTTCCCTAATTTTAAACCAATCCTCTTTCTTATTATCATTATTTTTTTAATCTTTAATGTATTTTTATTTGATGCTGAGGATTGAACCCAGTGCCTCACGCATGCCAGGCAAGCGTGCTACCACTTGAGCCACATCCTGAGCCCCTATTATCATTCTTTAGTTGAAAGTTTTGCTAAGAGATTGGGGGAGCAAGTTTAGGAATCTAAGTGAAGAAGTTAAAAATGGAATTAAGAAGTGAATTCAGTAGTAGAGAATCAGAATTGAACTAACAGAGGAAGGGCAAATTTGAAAAACAACGGCACTGTGATGGGTAGGAATGAGAATTTTGGAAAAGTGATCAGAATATTGGAATTTATGACCAGTTTGATAAAGACAAAACAAAAATTAATGACACAGGATATTGGGAGCTATCTAAAATGGCATATTAAAATAGGAGGTCAAAGAGCATCCTGAATAAGTCATCAATTTCTTGTTTGTTTAATTGGAGGAACTGACAAACTTCAAAGTGTTTGATGAAAGAGGTTAAAATAATTTGAGCCACTGGGCAGAGTCTCCAGAGCACATTGGAATGTGAGGGTGGCTTAGAAACAATCAAGCACGGGGGGACTTGAAGTTGCTAACCTACATGGATCTATGGCCCAGAGCAGATGTCCACCTTTCACCTTTTTTCCTAACTCAGTGATGACTTCCTATGCACATGAAGGTTAGGGCTCAGGAATGACTGGTTGGCAAAGCCATCATAGAGCTTCAGTTGGGTACTTGTTAACATGCTTGTGCTGACACCAGTAACTGAGACCCAATTTAGGAACATGGAAAATGAGCTCCAATATTGTGTCAGTTGTGCCCAGCCATCTCTCAGGTATCTACATCTTCATAGGATGTAGATTTAAAGGTTGGATACTACCACTAAGTCCTAAAGAAGAGGGTCCTGAGAGTGTACACCCACAGGAAGGAAGATATTTAGGCTGTACTTAGGGGAACAGAGGTATGACTTTGAGTACACTACTTTTCTGGCAATCTTTTCTCTTGATCATTTGAGTGCCCATGAAGATTTTGAAGTGCTTGATAGTTTATACAGATCTAAATGAGGCAAGACCTATATAGGAAAAAGAATTATATTTTATATTTCACTCTGTATGGCAAAAGTATTTCCAATAACAAATATATGTACATTCTTTGACTTGTGCACATTCAACTTTCAAACAATTCAAATGTTTCAGGGAACTCCCTGTGCTGTTTGTGAATAGAGGAAGCAATGGGCTCTTTTTAGTAGATAGTTTCCATGTTGAAGAACCCAGCTTACTCTTTGATAGAAAAGATAGAGGAAAGTATTTTTCTACTTTATCTTGGGTTATTAGAGACCTTTTCAGTTCAAGAAACAAAAATTATTTTGGCCATTAATTTGATTTTCAGTTCAGCTTTCAACACAGGCCAGTTTGTAAAGATAAATTATTCTCAGGTTCTGCCAAACTATTGGCTGTCACTTTTTGAAATGGAACAAAAACTCCTTCATTGAATATTTCATAGACAGGAAAAATTGGAGGCAGAAATAAATAAATAAATTTTGTTTAAGAGAGGTCATACTGTTATTACTATATCATCAAGAAATACCATTTGATATAATTAAACATTCACCAAAGTTTATTTTTTTGAAAAACTTGACTTATCCATTTTTTTGTTTATTTTTACTCTAAAGATATTCTGATAAACCTGGCCCTAGTGATTCTATGCTGGATGAGGGCAGCAATCAATCTGATGCCAAGGTAAAGTGCTCTCTCGTGAAGTTAATTTTCTTGTTCCAAAATTTGTTTTTGGAGGTGTCTATTCTTAATGTTCTGCAGTGACCTCCCTGTCATTTATTTGAAAATTGTTCAGAAGAAATTATTTCATAGAATTATGCTGATTTCTTTTTATTAATACACTTTTGTAAATACCAACGTTCACTTAAATACTTCAGGGCATTGGGGGCTGGAAAACACACAAACAGAAAAGTTACATTAGGAAAATCCTTCCAACTGCAGAAGAAATATAAAATTTTGTAAGATTCATTTGAATAAATATACTTTACTGTGACTTTTAAATCATACAGGACTTTTATGATACTCATACCTAAATAAAGATTTAAGCATTGAATTACTTTTCCTAGTAATCATGGAATTTCCCTGGAGCCATTAATTTGAAGCTATAAAGCATATTGTGTATGTACATTGTATATACTTATTTCTCTTGGACACTGTATGTTTTAGTATCATATTCTTCTTAGGAGAACTTTTTCCCTATTTATGTTCTTGATTCTTTATTTATACTAAAATAATATTAGAAATGTGGCAATATAGAAATTTAGAATCTGTTTCTTAATGCTTGCATTACAAAGGGATTGCATCATGTTTTCTGAATCTCTCCACTGAGTGCTTTTAAACTCATGATCTAAATAAAAATAGATATTTTGTGCAAGATAATAACCAGTTCTTGAAGCAGAGCATCTTAATGACTATGTGGTAAAACTTTAGAACTTTTTTGCCTTGTAGTGTATTAAAATATCCACTCAAAGATCTTATATAATATTCTCAGACTTCATATTTGAGACATATCTTTACTTAGTTATTTACATATTCATTTCAAATCTCTTCTATCATCATGAGCTATTGGAGGTTAGGAAACATATTTGCATATCTCCCGGAGTAACTAGAATAAGGTTTGGAATATTTTTAATGTTTTTGACATGAATAAAAATGACCAAAAATAGATTTATAGATAATGAATTATCCTAAGTAATATAATATGCATGGTAGAGCTAATAGTCAAATCTATTGAATTTCTACGAATATGGCTTAAATTTATGTTCTTCTTTAGTGCTTAGGTTGTAAAAGTTCAGGTGAGTTAACATGAATTAATGTCAAAAAAGGAACAATTCTTTACAATTAAGAATTGTAGGGAGGAGAGGCCCGAGATTGGGGCGGCCGGCAGCAGCTGCCTTGGTGACCACTGCCGGCTGCGCGGGGCTCCGAGACCGAGCTGCGGGCCTCGCCGTCGCCGCCTCTCCGGCTGTCTTCCTTTTCCTCCTCTCGTAGCCCTCGGGGCTTCAGGAATGGGGCCCAACCGCCGTGGGCCCCGCATCCCGCGCCATTCGTAGGCCCAGTTGCCGGAGGTCGGCCGGCCGGCTTCTCACTCTCCCTGGCCCCAGTCTAGCTGTTCCCACCCCAGATCCCCGGGAAGGAAGATGAGGGAGACGGGCCCGGCGTTCAGCCAGAGCAGCAGCAGCAGCCGCGGTCGGGGAAGGGTGTTTCGCGGTTTCCTCTCAGCCGCCAGGACAAGATGGCAGCGGCCGCGGAGAGGAGCTGATCCCGGGCTGGGTGGTGCCGCTTGCTGAAGCGCCTGGCTCCGTGTTCCCGGCACGGCCCCGCTACCCATCCCGGACATGCTCAGGGCTGCGGCCGCCCGAAGAGGGGAGAGCGCGGGCCTCTAGGAAGGTATGGCCTCACAAGTCTTGGTCTACCCACCATATGTTTGTCAAACTCAGTCAAGTGCCTTTTGTAGTGTGAAGAAACTCAAGGTAGAGCCAAGCAGTTGTGTTTTCCAGGAAAGAAGCTATGTGAAAGGACCTATGTGAAAGGTAGAAACTTTGGAAATTCTCATCCTCCCACAAAGGGTAGTGCTTTTCAGACAGAGATACCATTTAATAGACCCCGAGGACAGAACTTTTCATTGCAGACTGGTTTTGTTTTAAAAAATACTGCAGGTGCTACAAAGGTGATAGCAGCTCAAGCTCAGCAAGCTCTAGCAGATGAGGTAGAGAGCGAAGATGGGAGGGGAGGGGAGGGTGGATAGTAGGGGATAGGAAAAGTAGCAGAATACAACAGTCACTAATATGCCATTATGTAAAAATGTGAATGTGTAACTGATGTGATTCTGCAATTTGTATTTGGGGTAAAAATGGGAGTTCATAACCCAATTGAGTCAAATGTATGAAAGATGATATATCATGAGCTTTGTAATGTTTTGAACAACCAATAAAAAAAAAGAATTGTAATTCTTTACAATTAAGAAAAATGACATAAATAGGAAAGTTGCAACCAGAATATCTCCTTTAGAGTCTCAACCCATGTGTTATTAAATACATCTTCTCAAGTTCCACATTTTTCTTTTTCTTCAGTAGTAATGTTACAGGTTTCAGATAGTGGTTTATAACCATTTAAGTTGAAGTTATTATATTCTAATAAAATTTAATGCTTTATTATAGAATTATTATCAAAACAAGCATAATATAATACTATTGAGTCTTAAACATTAGTATGAATCAAAATCTTTATTATATTTCTAATCATAACCACTCAATTCCTTTCTTTTTCTTTATTGACTTAAACTCATAGTCAATTGACTAGTCATGTCTTCTATTTTTGTTTCTTTCTCCTTTCTTTCCTAGTAAAAATGTTTTAGTCCTAGAAAACGTTTCTTTAGTGTTTGTTCTTTCAGCCATTTTGTTTCCATGGTTGGTTTTATTTTAATCTCCTGGCTTAGAAACTGTGTGACTTTCAGCCATCAATCATTGCCCCAAATATTATTCTTGTCATTATTCTTCTCTTTCTTAGAAGGAGTAACATTTATATTATCATTTGTCTTCAGCTGTTTGACTCACAGGATTGAAGCAACTTAGGCTGTTTGTGATTCCAACCCCTCTTATTCATAAGATATTCAGATAGCATGTTTTTTCACCAAGAGGTAGTTCATATCAATATAAATCATGAAAGCCCATTCCAGATATTACATGTAATTACTTTATATTTCTTAAATTGTTATTTTTTAAAAGTACTCTAAACTGTTACACATGGCTACAATTTTTATCCTAGATTATTTGGGTTAAGAAAATAGTCAAATGGATGTCAGTATTTTTGTAATAATCAATTGGAGGTAATGGGAGTAATATTTAGAAGCTCTCTCTACCATCTCTCATAGTCTTCATCCCATGAGAAGATGTAGGTTAGTAAATGGCAGCAATAGGGTTTGAGTATACATTCAATGACTCAGAAACCTGTGCTCTTACTATTGTATCATGGAGCAATGGCCAATATTATAATTACATTATCAATTTTGGTGCTTGCTACACCCAAAGCTTTTTTTTTTTTTCCTTTCTAGAATATTGCAAGAGAAAAAGAAGAATTATGTGAAGATTTTCAACAATCCAGTAAAGATGGTAAGCTATTTGAAGACTGCTTCTTCTTATGCTGTTCATTAATTTGAAATGACAGACATTTTCATATACTATTTACTTTGTTTTTACTGTCATAGGAGCAATATCTGACACAGGAACACAAGAAAATAAAACCTTGTTTGACAACAGTTGTACTGAGTGTCAAAAGGAAGACGAAGATGAAAACAATCTTGTACAATTTTTCAGTATAAAGACCTCTTTCTTTTCAGCAACTGACTCAAAGGTGAGGTGTTTTTAAACCTCTTTTTCCCATGTCTTCTTACATGTCATCTTCCATATGCACATAATAATGACATACATCCCAGAGGTAAACATAAGGCTACAAAGTCATAAGGATAGCAACAGGCAGAGTATATATGCAGGATTAACATTTATGGAACTTGGTGAGAGTGAGCAATCCTTAGGAATGCCATTATGGATGGAAAGAATTAGAAAAAAAAGCATAATCCCCCACTTATGTATGGGTGTACCTGGAGGGAGAGCCCCCTTATCTAAGATCTAAGGAAAGCCCAAAGAATGTATCCCAGAGCTACCAGGCTAAACCAAAATTCAAGGAAATATATTTGATAGTTAAAAAAAATAAGAATGTGTCCTTGACAGTATTCCACACATAGAAGAATCATTTATCAAAGATGTCATGGCAACAAAAAAAGGCTGGGACTGCCATTGCTTGGGAGGGTTCCCACTGCAGTTGTACCGATTTGAATTATTTACCAGCTAGAGGACAGAGTGACCCAACACACCTCTTTGGGATTCTAAGGTATCTGAAAGCTGGGAATCTTTCAAAAGAAACAATGACCAAGATATTTTGTTGTATACATTGTGTAGTTTTATTGAAATTAAAGAAAAAGGCAAAAAAATGTAAAAATTGAAGAAAAAGAAAATAAGCCAAAAGAACAGCTCAATGAATATGAAGCTGAGAAAGAGGGATGCATAGGAAGAAATTATTTAAGGGCAAGATATATCCAGATTGAATAAAAGTCAAGATGAAAGAAATTAAAAATACAACAGAAATAGTGAATTTAAGGACAGTAGGAGCTCTATCTTATTAATTATGATAGAAACTAGATTCTTCTGAAAAACTTGGAGTTGATTTTAATGAAGATCTTGAAGAAAATATAATCCTCATTTCTTTTAAACTTAAGGAGTTTGTAGTTCAGATGTGGATAGGAGTGGGAGTGGAGTCAGTGAAGGTCTCTCTGAGTGTGAATATAAGCTCATAAGGATTGGAAGGAGCCAGTCAATGAATGCTTAGGAGGAGGCCATTCTGGATAGGGAGTGCAGTGGGTCATTTTACTCCTAATATCCTGAAATGACCAGAGAGGTGGTGTGGGATCACTATCAGCATAATCATTTTGTGATTATAACATAGAAAAAACCATGAAAATAAATGCTTGGCATATTTTATATGCTTAATAAAACAAAATTATTTTCATTGTGTTCTCATTGAAGCTTGGAATTTTAAAATTTAGCACTAATGAATTATAGACAAGATGATAAAGATGGTATTTTTTTTTAAATTGATGCACATGAAGTACACAAATGGCTTATTTGTACATGCATATTACATTTTGGCCAATTTCACTCTAAAATACTTACCATTTCTTCCTTCCTATGCCCAACTCCTTTCTCTCTATACTGATTGTCTTTCCCAGTGAAAATATCTCCTTCTCTAGTTTCGCCATAGGAGAGAAAATGTGATGCTTTTTCTTTTGCGTCTGACTTATTATTATTATCTTCACATGATGCTTTCTAGGTCCATCATTTTCCTAAAAATGACACAATATCACTTTTTTATGGATAAAAAATACACCTGTGTGTATATTGACCACATTTCCTTTTTCTATTTTTTTTTACTTTTTAAAAAAAATTTAATTGATTTTTAAAAAATAAATGAGAGCAGAATGCATTACAATTTTTATTGCACATATACAGCACAATTTTTCATATCTCTGGTTGTATACAAAGTATATTCACACCAATTCATGTCTTCATACATGTGCTTTGGATAATAATGTCCATCACATTCCACCATCCTTGCTAACCCCTGCCTCCTCCCATCCCCTCCCACCCTCTGCCCTATCTAGAGTTCGTTGGTTCCTCCCATGCTCCCCCTCCCTACCCCACTATAAATCAGCCTCCATATATCAGAGAAAACATTTGGCATTTGTTTTTTGGATTGGCTAACTTCACTTAGCTTTATCCTCTCCAGCGCCATCCATTTACCTGCAAATGCCATGATTTTATCCTCTTTTAGCTGGGTAATATTCCCTTGTGTATATATGCCACATTTTTTTTATCCATTCATCTACTGAAGGGCATCTAGGTTGGTTTCACATTTTAGCTATTGTGAGTTATGCTGCTATAAACATTGATGTTGCTGTGCCCCTGTAATCTGCTGTTTTTAAGTGATTTGATTATACACCAAGGAGAGGGATAGCTGGGTTAAATGGTGGTTCCGTTCCCAGTTTTCCAAGGAATCTCCATACCCTAATCTTTATCATGTGTGATTAGGCCCCAACTTCCTTAATAAAAACTCCTGTAGTGCAAGAATTAAAATCAAGAATCAATACATGGGATGGATTCAAACTAAAAAGTTTCTTCTCAGCGAAAGAAACAATCTATGAGGTGAATAGAGATCCTACATCTTGGGAGCAAATTTTACTCCTCACACATTTTCTTTATTTATCTGTTGAGAAGCACCTAGACTGATCCTATATCTTGTCTATTATAAATAGTCTCATAAAAATATGTGTGTATACAGAATCTCTAGAGTATGATGACTTTAATTGTTTCAACAAATACTGAGGACTGGTGTAGTTGGATCATACAGCAGTTCTAGTTTTACTTGTTTTTTGAATAACCTCCATAATGATTTACCTAGGGGATATAGTACTTTACGTTCCCACCAAAAATTTATAAGTGTTTTTTCTCCCCACAACCTCCCCAGTATTTATTATTTGCTTTCTGACTGGTGTAAGATGAAATCTCAATGCTGTTTTGATTTACCTTTCTTTGATGGGTAAAGATGTTAAACATTTTTTCATATAGTGTCGGAGATTTGTACCTCTTTTTCTATTTTTTCCTTTTATTTGCCCACTTGTTGAATGGGAAATTTGTGCGTCAGGTGTTAAGAATTTTGAGTTCTTTATTCAGGATATTAGTCCTCTGTTAGAAGAGTAACTGGCAAAGACTTTCTCCCATCTGAAGACCATCTCTTTACACTGCAGTTGTTTGACTAGCCTTGCAGAAGATTTTTTGATTTCATGCAGGCCCACTCATCTGTTGTTGCTGTTATTTCCTGAGCCATTCAAGAAGTCATTGCCTATGCCTATTTCCTAAAATGTTGTTATTGTTTTTCTGTATTTTTTTTAGTTGCAAAGCTCTTGGTCTTATATCTGTCTTTGATCCCTTTTAAATTGTCTCTTGTACAATGTTAGAGATAGGGATCTAGTTTCATACTTATTGCTAGTTCACCCACAACCATTTTCTAAAGAATCTTTCTATTCCTCAGTTTGTGTTTTTGGTACTATTGTCATAAATGAGATGACTGTAGCTGTGTGGATTTGTCTCTGTGTCTTTTATTCTATTTCATTTTGTATATGACTGTCTTTATGCCAGTACCATGCTGTTTTCCTTACTATGGCTCTGGCTTATGTTTTGAAATTGGGCATTGTGGTGTCTCCATCACTGGTTTTATTCCTCACTCACTTTAGCTATTATGGGTCTTTTCTTCTTTCATATGTATTAGTAATACTTTTTCCAGTTGTGCAAAGATTATTGTTTAAATTTTGATATAAATTACAAGGAATCTGTAGATTATTCTTGGTAATGTGATCACTTTCACAATATGAATTCTGTCTTCCTATGTATATGTGATAACGTGTTAGCTTCTAGTTTCTTCAATTTTTTTTCAAAATTTTTTAATTTTTGTTGACGAGGTCTTTCACCTCCTTGGTTAGATTTATTCCTAGGTATTTATTAAGCTATTTAAATGAGTTGTTATACTGATTACATTCCCATCAGGTTTGCTATTGATATTGAAAAACCTTATTTTTTTTGTATAATGACTTTGTATCCTGTTACTCTGCTAACTTTGTTCATCCTTTTTGACGTCCAGATAATTGCTGCTGAAAGTCATTTATTTCAAATCTGAGAATAGGTACTCTTCTTTGCTTTTGGCTTCCATTTGCATGTGTTTTCATTTTCTATCCTTTTACTTTTATTCTCTGAATGTATTTGCCAGTCAAGCATACTCCTGCAGAATAGTCGATTCATTTTTTATTAATTCAACATTTCTTATATTTTGGATAGGTCTTATAATTGGAGAATTAGTGTTAATATACAGATGAGTGCTGCTTTCTTTTTTTATTTCTAATATAGATTTTGCTTCTAACTTAAATTTGCTTAACTATTGTATGCTTTCCTATGCTGTCTTTGTGGATTTTAATCTCATGTGTGGAGTTTTTCTTTGAGCATCTTGTGAAAAACTGGCTTGATTGACATGATGTTTTAGTTTATTTTTGTCTTGGAAGGTCTTTATTTCATCTTTGAATTTGAAGGATAACTTTGAGGCATATCACCATCTAGGCTGCTAATATTTCACTTTCAGGACTTAAAATATGTCATTGCAGGTGCTCCTAGCCTTTAGATTTATACCGGTGCCTTATCATTTATAGGTGTCTTGTTATTTCTCTTTTTGCTCTGAGTTTTGGAATTTTAAATAAAATATAAATGCAGAATTCCTCTTTTGTTTATATCTATTTGGACTCTAAATGTCTCCTGTGTTTTGATGTTCACCATGTTTCCATGATGAAAGAAATTTTCTCTGAAAAGTTCACTGAATAATAATACAAGTTCATTGAATAAGTGTTCTCTGTTATTCATCTCTGTCTGCAGTACTTAAGCACAACCTGAGACTTGACTTTGGTCATTTTTTAAAATATATTTCTTTTAGTTGTACACATACCTTTGTTTTTTTATGTATTTAATTTTATTTAGTGTTGAGGATCAAACAGAGGCCCTTGCACCCGCTAGGCAAGCACTCTACTGCTGAGCCACAACCCCAGCCCCTTGGTCAATTTTATTTATTAGACTTTTATGGTTATACATAGTAGTGAAGTTCATCCCAATAAACTCATATATGCATGGAAAATAATTTCAATTCATGATGTCCCCTTTTCCCTTTAATTCTCCCTTCTCTCTCCAATTCTCTTTCCTCTA